TCAGGGCAGTTCAGCCTTGTAACCCTGTTGTTTCTTGTTATTGAGCCTCAACATGTTTTTCACTGCGTGGACTCAGAGCATCCACAAATAGATGATGATTTCAGCCACTTCTGCTGCTTTGATCACCAGTATGGTGTGGTTGTTCTTAATTACACACTCACCACAGCCTTATTCAGAGTGAAAACAGGAAGTGTAAGAGCCGACAGCTAACTCTGTATAGATAATGTCCACTTGTAGAACAAAGCGTGTTTGTGTTGCTAATATTCAGTGTTTGTGTCTCCCTGCAGTGGGTTGGGCTACATCCTGGGCTCCGGAGCCAAGGATGCTGCTAAAGACTGGCACTGGGCGTTAAGGGTAAGACCATCAGCATACAAACATTGATAGAGATGAAGGACGCCTGGTTGGTTGTGGTTCTTGTTCTGGATCTGGATCAGAGTGACAGGTCTACAGGACAGGTCTTCGTGGCTTTGCGGGTTGTCCCATTTCTCCCAGTGACAGAGCAGAGAGTGTCCCCTTCCAGGGATAATGCACTCAACATCTTCAAACATGTGCAAACCACAAATCCTTTGCCCACGGAGGTTGTCTCTGTGAACGCAGGATGAACGTCCGCTTCACTGAAGCAAGTTAGCTTTGTTCTCCAGCTGCGTTCAAGGTCCACCACTGTTTCAGTGAAGGACAAAAAACTTCAGGCCTCGTCTTCATGTCATTGTTTCTGCCGTGATCGTTCTGAAAGCAAAGCAAAAATCGTATATTTTTTTTTGGGGGGGGCTGTTTTATAGAAGAGGAACTGAGGCCATTCTTATATTAAAAAAAATAACAGATTTGTGGAAAACATAAGGTTTCATTAGGCAAAGTTTCAGTTTGACCTTGTAAAAATAAACAAATTTCACAAGATATGTGGGTACCACTTTACAATAACGCTCCTCTTATAGATGGCTATTACATAGTTTATAGATATGTTATTAATTCCTCTATAAACACTTTATAAATCATTAATAACTGCTTATTATTCATTAATTAAGGGCGACAGAGACAAAACTGGCTAGTTGGTTGACAGTGAACCAAATCTGTTCACCTATATATTTCAAATTAAACATTTCACACTAAGTTACTACCTTGTGAGCACAATAAGCATTTGTAAACCCTTCTTTAGCATATAATATTAGTTGTAGATACTTATAATGCAGTGATAAAGTGCAATACTATAAGCCAAAGAAATAAGTTTGTAAATACTTATTGTGCTTACAAAGTAGTAACTTAGTGTGAAATGTTAAATATAATAACTCTAGATTAAATATATAGGTGAACAGATTTGACTCACTATTTGGCAACAAACTGGTCGGTTTTGTCTCTTTGCCACCTTTAATTAATGCATAATAAACAATTATTAATGCTTTATAAAGAAGTGTTTATAGATGAATTAATTACGTATTTATAAACCATTTATTAGCTAGCTCTGAGGGGAGCCTTGTTGTAAAGTGGTACCAATATTGGTTTGCAAAATGTTCCAAAGATGCTTCAGGAGCACAAAAACTGGAACAATGGTGGAAAAATTAAAAATCTTTTGTGATGTTTTAGCAGCACACATACAGGAGCATAGATCTCTGAGTTAGTTTTTACTGGGAACCACTGAGTGTTTGAGACTAAATGCTCCACAAGCTAGAGCAGCTTTAATGGGACAGACCAATGAGCATCCTAATGGGGCTCCTGTTCACTTGCAGTAAAAAAACAAATCTTTAAAACAAATCATAACCTCGCTGCTGTTACAAAACAAAACATTTTATCAACGATGGAAACGAGTCTTGAGACGTAGAGGGTTGGCCGGGCGGGAAGGCCCTTTCTTTGTCTTTGTGAGCGATTAGGAAAACAAACAGGAGTGGTACGAAGGAGGTAGATTGTTCCAAAGCAGCCACAACGACATTCCATTAAAACAATTTCTGAGTCGATTAATCAGCTGCGTGGCATGCAGGGGAAGACAAATACCAAGACATGAAACGGGTTTCTGCGTGGCAGCATCCTGTTTCAGTGAAAAGAACGAAAACAATCCAGTGCAGCTCTTCCGCTTGTTTTTGTCCAGTTTGTTCCAGCCACCTTCCTGAAGATGTCAATGGAGTAATGTAACGGGGGGGGGATCCAAGGAGCCAAGCAGTGAGTGAGAGCAGGAGCTAATTTGTTTGATTGGCCCCATCCCAGCAGGAAGTACCTAATGTGTCCTGGGGGAGTTGAGGTCAGAGGTCACAGACTCCTGGAGTCTTGCGGAAGAACTGAAAGTGGCTCGACCTTTAACGGGAGCCGCTTCCATTAGGTTAGCTCATTCTTAAGGACATGTTTAATTAAGAAGTGATGTTCGGTGGAAACGTCATAAACAATAAATATCTCACCTGTTGTAGATATCTCTTGGTTTGACCGCAGTTTGGAGGCACAGAGCTTGAGACAAGCTAACATGTAGTCTGAACACAAATGAAACTGGATCCAAGCTCAAATGTCAGAGCAGCTCATGAAAACACTTCAGACTTTTATGTCTCCATCAGTTTTAATACAATAAAAATCTATCTTAAAGTAACCCCAGACTGCACAGCTAGCTTGTCTTTGTAATAAAATTCACATGAACGGCACATTTTAGCACTTTTTGTTCTTTTAAGCTGGCGGCAATCCACTTTAATCTTGTCCACAGTCGGATTAGCTGTTACATTTTCAGTCAAATCTTTCTTTTTTAACAAAAAGATTATTGAAAGGGCTATCTACAGCAGGTAATATAATCATTTTACATAACTTTTCCACAGAACCCCACTTCAATATGTCTGGAAAGCCTCTAACATCTGAGTTACAAGTGCTGGGACTGAGCAGAACCAGTGTGGCGAGCCACATCAGACGCACACGTTCTCTTAATGAAAAACACAAAGGACACACACCCACAGACAAACACACACACGCTCACGGTTTACTGTAGAGCGGCTTATAAATATAAATGGGCTTTAATGAGAAACTAAATATAATGAAAGGAATTGCTGACTCTGAAATTGCTTTTATGAACAGTTTATGTGAGCTCATCCTGCTTTTTGTCTTCGTCCCCTCGTGAATCCACGCAGGTACAAACTCGCAGATAATGGAGGACAGTGAGCATAAAGGCAGACGCTCATCTATAAGGGTTTCACCTGTTCACAAAGCAGCTTCTGAAGTCAAAAAGCTTTTAGCTTCCTGTACGTGTGCACGCCCACACATGAGCACACACAGTGCCCACAGAGTGAGCAACAGGAATGTTCTTAGTTGTGATCAGCGTGTATAGGATGTCAGGCGTATCAGCAAACAGGGGCCTTGTTTCCAGACTGTAAACACACACTTCTTTGTCCTCGTGCTTTAACCCCTCGCACCGCTCCCACCACAGTGTGTTCATATGATCGCAGCCCGCACGGGTCGCTCTCTGCGCACTAATTGGTTTTATTCATTCTTTGTCTTGTTCCATAAGGTGTCTCCACCTCTGGGCATCATCGCCGGAGCTTTGATCCTGCTCTTTGTGCCGGAGCCAAAGAGAGGCAACATCGACCAGATGAGAGGGCGCATGAAGACCAGCACCTCCTGCTCCTCCTGGCTCTACGACATAAAAGAACTCTTCAAGAAGTAAGGCTTGAGATTGAGATTTGACGTTCCCACAGTGAAACGAAACATTCGGTCCAGTTTTTCCACAGGCTAACTACCGCCACTGAAAGCTACGCAGGCTGGTGAACAACGAGGCATCGTCCACGTAAAATAGATCTTTTGTGCTGCTTCGTTGGCTTTGGATGCAAAAATGAATTGATCAGCAACTTTAATAATAAGCAACATCACAGGTGTTTGCTATTTTTAGCATTTAGCCCTCTATTGTGTTTTTTCTCCCCACATTTTATTTAACATTTAATGAACAAACACTCACCGCCCTGACACCTATCACTAACAGACAGGTAATAGAAAAGGTAAAGAAATAATAAAGCACACGTTTGTCTTTTTCAAATTTGTGTATTCTGCTTCTGTTTTCTGTGGGCGGCTGTGGCTGAGTGGTTAGAGCAG